TTCTTTTAGCTCACAGCCAGCCCTATTTTTCTAAGCCTACACATTTTGTCCTTGTTGAAAGTATTTGAACATTATCAAGCTTTTTTTGTTTATGTATGCTTAAATCTTGTATAAGCTTAAATATATTTTACAATCTAAGCTTTATTTTATCTTCTTTCTTATATATTTATATAACTTTAGGTGGCTATCTTCATTGAAAATTTGTTCTCAAAAGCCTTAAAATAGAACATAGTTCTGGCAGCAACTTGAAAGTCATTTGAGGAAAAGGGGAGATTTATAATGATGATTCAAATGAAGCAAACTTAAAATTAATAAAGCAAGACAGAGGAAAAAGCAACATTTACCTGAGCACATCCCAAAAGAATAAAATTTCCAATGTAACTAGAAAAAAGTATGCTGAAGATTACATTACAGAAATAATTATTAATACTTCAAATAGCTCTAAAGCCCCGCTCGCTTTTTGAATGCTGGAAATTAACCATGAGGGGCCTGTAACTCTAAGATGGTTCCTTCAGTAATGACCATTTTCTTTTACAAGACGTTGAGTATTCTCTACCTTCTAAGAGACCAGCATTGCTCATCAATGCCGAGCAATGGAAAGTGAAGGTGTTCAGTTTTGGTAAGTTCTTAGTGAAATCCCTGATCTTTTTCTTCATATTCTGGACTCCCAATGTGACTGATGAAAGTTACAACATGCTCTGCAGGGGGAAATGCTTTAGCGTGTATTACTACATTATAATCTCATCTTTGTAGAGCCAGAAGCATTTCAAAAGTCACATTGCAGACATTGCTTAAACATAGTTTGTTTTTACCAAAGCATAGGACATTGTATCATCTCATATTAATTAGTTAGTTGAGTCAAAATTACTGCTAATTACTTAGTGGTTTCATGACGTATCTTAGTGTTAAAACCTTCTTTATTTCAGAACTATTTCACCTCTCAGTTTTTGTTTTTGCAGTGTGTCACTGCCTGCCAGCTGCTAATCTGCTAATACCCAGTGGATCATGTGTCCTGTGAAAGGACTGAAGGAGATATTAGTGGCAAATTATGTTGATGATTCGTATTTTGAATAAATAGAACATTAAGTTTGTATACATTTTGAAAATAGTATTTTAATATTCAACTGTGTCATAGTCATAGTGATTGGATGTATGTTGGATTTATATGTATATTCAGTTGTTACATGTTTATGTTCTTTAGCATTCTAACTTGCAACTGCATATCTGTAAAGATTTTTCTTTTTCTTTTTTTTTCAAGAAGATCAAATTGACTTATTGAGCCAGCTGATTAATGTCAAGTTGGGTGGCCTAGGCTCTGTGTAGGGGTAAGATTAAAGCAGGAAGAACAGTGGTGAGGAGCAAGGGTGCCAGACAGGCCAATCTTCTATCATGCTCTCAGAGAAATCGTTTTTTGCTCCAGGGCCTAAGGAGCAGCCAAATTCCATGAGTTAAATGCAGATCTGTACCATACCAAGCTGGGATTGTGGTACACACTTTTCTCTTCTGAAGAGTAGCTAGGGATTCCAACTTGGTGAGATGGAGACTATGGAAGAGCCAGACTAGACAAGGACTAATCACCTGAAAAAGACTGCCATCAAAAAACTTGGTGAGTGCTGGATGCCGTGGCCCAAGCCTGTAATCCCAGCATTTTGGGAGGCTGAGTTGGGTGGATAATCTGAGGCCAGGAGTTCGAGTCCAGCCTTGGCAAAATAACAGAAGCCTGTCTATACTAAAAATACAAATATTAGACAGGCATGCTATGCTTCTGTAATCCCAGCTACTTGGGAGGCTGAGGCAGGAGAATCATTTTAACTGAAAAGACAGAGGTCGAAGTGAGCTGAGATCATGCCACTGCATTCCAGTCTGGGAGACAGAGTGAATCTGTGTCTCAGAAAAAGAAAAAGAAAAAGAAAATGGCCTTGGCAGAGTGGCTGGCCTGACATTGCCTTCCCTTGGGTTTCTCCTGGGTAGGGTTCTGTCATGATGAGGCACTTTTTTTTTTCCTGTTCATGGCCTGAATCCAAGAAATTTCTTTTTCTGGGGGTTGGGTGGGGGACAGAACTGGAAACCTTTTTTCGGTGATTTTCTTCTTTGTTGTTGTTGTTGTTGTTGTTGTTTGAGATGAAATCTCATTGTGTCACCTAGGCTGGAGTGCAGTGGCTCAATCTCGGCTCACTGCAATCTCCTCCCTTCTAATTTCAAGTGATTCCCATGTCTCCGCCTCCTAAGTAGCTGAGATTACATGTGTGTGCTACTGCACCGGCTAATTTTTGTATTTTTTATAGAGATGGGTTTTCAAACTCCTGACCTCAAGTGATCTGCCCATTTTGGCCTCCCAAAGTGCTTGGATTACAGGCATGAGCCACCATACCCAGCCCCTTCAGGTGGGTTTTGAGGCTTCACTACAACACTAATTTTCTGTTGCTGCTGCAACAAATTCATGCACACTTAGTGGCCTGAGACACAACAGATGTATGCCCTTACAGTTCTGAAGGCCAGAATTCTAAAGTCAGTCTTACTGAGTCAAAAGGGGAGCAGGGCCAGTGCCTTCTGAGGCTCTGCTGAAGAATCTTTTTCCTGGCCCTGGAGATGGCCTGCAATCCTCAGTTTGTGCTGCCCTTCTTGAATGACTTAAGTTTCCTGCTTCCATTACTACACCTCCCACCACTCTCCATCACCTGCTCTGCCCTTAGGAAAATCAGAGTGAGTACACCAACCCAGCCGGGACAGGCTGGGATAATCTTCCCAGCCAAATATTGTTAAATTTGTTAAGGCAAAGCCGCTTTTTTCATACCAGGTCATGTTCACTGGTTCTCGAGATTAGGATATGGGTACCTTGTGGGGTTACTATCAGCCTACCACAGCAAGGCTGCAAAACTATTACACCCTTTTGGTGTTATAATGATTGAGAGAAAAAGGGTTGGGATTTTTTGGGGGGCTAGGTTCCTCTTAATCGTGTATCTTTAAAGTCTGGGGTCCATCTTAATCTTGTTTCTTTTCTTTTCTTTTTCTTTCTCTCTCTCTCTCTCTTTTTTTTTTTTTTACTTTTTTGATACGGAGACTTGCTCTGTTGCCCAGGCTGGCAGCGGAAAGGTCTTGGCTCACTGCAATGTCTGCCACCTGGGCTCAGGCAATTCTCCTGCCTCAGCCTCCTGAGTAGCTGAGACTACAGGTGCCTGCCACCACACCTGATTAAGTGTTATATTCTTAATAGAGAAGCGGGTGGAGGGTGGTGGTGGGGATGGGGGTTTCCAGTCTGTTTCCCTGAGCCCAAAGAGATCTGGCTGCCTCTGCTCCCAAAGTACTGGGATTACAGTCCTGCACCACTGCACCTGGCTGCTGTAAAGTCTTATTTCCACACAGCTGAGACATGTTTTTGGAAGTTTGCTAAAGGGCCCATGAACCTCCGCATTGTGGTTTTCTTGTTGTTGTGTTTAATTTGATTGATCTTTTCTGCTTTCCAGAAATTAAAAGGCTAACATGACATACTAAACTTTAAAATTTCTCTTTTCATTTATTTATTTATTGTTTGAGATGGAGTCTCACTTTGTCCCCCAGGCTGGAGGGCAGTGGCATGACCTAAACTCACTGCAACTTTCAACTCCTGGATTCAAGTGATTCTCTTGCCTCAGCATCCCAAGTAGCTGGGATTACGGAAGCACACCACTACACCTGGCTGTTTCATATTTTTGGTAGAGATAAGGTTTCATTATGTTGGCCAGACTGATCTCAAGTGATCCACTTGCCTCAATCTCCCAAAGTGCTGGGATTACAGGTGTGCGCCACTGCACCTGCCCTAAAACTTCTCTTGTATTCTCCCATTAAACTTATTCTAAGAAACACCAAAACAGAAAATTTTTTTTGAAAGCAGTAAAATAATATGGACGGTTAGAATGTAAAATACAGGAAATAAGTTATTATATTTTAGTGCTGCTCTGACATAGGGATGTATTATTGAGAATCAACTTTTGCTCAGTTTTCAGAGAATGAAATAATTCTATCACTGATCTAGAAAAAGTTGAAGAGCTGTTTGAAGAAAAATGTAGTATGTCTAAATTGGAAAATTTCAGTAATAGTTTGTTCATGAGCATTTATGCAATCCAGTTACTGTTCACCATGGGAGAACTGTGGACAAGCCCAGGGCCACTGGTCAATTGTGCCATTTTTATACATTTTTCCTTGTAAGGTGCTTTGTAGTGTCTGTTTAAATATTAGAAAAATTATTTGTTTCTACATTACTGCAAAGCTAAGGAAATGTATTTCTTTAATCTGTTTTTTTACATGCAATATTTGGTGGGGTGTGGTGGCTCATGCCTGTAATTTCAGCATTTTTGGGGGCTGAGGTAGGCAGATCACCTGAGTTCGGGAGTTTGAGACTAACCTGACCAACATGGAGAAACCTTGTCTCTACTAAAACTACAAAATTAGCTGGGTGTGGTGGTGCATGCCTATAATCTTCACTACTCCAGCAGCTGAGGCAGGAGAATCACTTCAACCCAGGAGGTGATGGTTGTAGTGAGCTGAGATTCTGCCATTGCACTCCAACCTGGGAAACAAGAGAAAAACTCTTTCTCAAAAAAAAAAAAAATGATATTTACCAAGATGCCCCTGTTGTCTCTACTTTTATCTTGATGCATTGCTGAGTTGATGTTAGATTTCAAATTCTTCTTTACCCTTACACTATTCTGACCTGAAGCTACCTCTATGTCATAATGAAAGAAGTTAGCAATTTGTTATTGTCATCTATCTGTTGGCATATATCAAATGTTTATCTAAAAATAGCAACAACCAGTAAAAACATTATGATTTTGCTGTTTCTATTTGGATGACTCTTTACTTTGCAACGTTACTAGCAAGCTATAAAATTGTATAGTATGCGGAACTTTAAATTGTTTTAAGTGAACATTTAAACATGATAAACCATATTGAAGTTATTTATGTTAATATAATTGAACATTTTGTCTTCTATATGAATAATATAATATACCTCTCGATGAAAATGAAAACCTAGAATTAGAGTAAATTTGCTAATGAATTCAATAACTTTTCCACAATATTTTTAGTTATGTGCTTAAGGTTCTCTCAGTGTTTCTTGCACTTTATAATTGTTTAAGCCTTTTTTCCTGGTTTTTGTAGGTTCTTGTTTGTTTGTTTGTTTTGAGACAGAGTTCAGCTCTGTCACCAGGCTGCAGTGCAGTGGCTCAGTGTCGGCTCACTGCAAACTCCACCTCCCAGGATCAAGTGACACTCCTGCCTCAGCTTCCTGAGTAGCTGGGACCACAGGTGTGTGCCACCACATTCGGGTAATTTTTGGAATTTTAGCAGAGACAGGGTTTCACCATGTTAGCCAAGATGGTCTTGATTTCTTGACCTTGATTTCTTGCCTTGGCCCCAAAAATGCTGGGATTACAGGCATGAACCTGGCCTTTGTTGGTTCATTTTAGAGAAAAAAAAAAAAAACCCTCGTAACATGTGCTACCAGAAAGCATGGACAGTGAGAATTTCTTTACATATTTATTGCGAAGGCCTGAATCTTAGGAATTCAATTGAATGCTTTTTTAAACAAATTATTTTCTTAATCTTATCTGAAAGCATAGGCATTGGGGACACAGCGGGGCCACATCTCTTATCCTATCTGAGCCTTAATATCATCCTCTTCTGTGGTCATGAGAACTAAAGACCTACCTTAAAGATCTGATAAGATAGTAAAGTGCTTCACATAATGCCTGGCATATAAATACATAATAAATGCTTCCTCCTCTTGTCTTTATTTATTTGTTTGTTTTTTCAGGCAGAATTTTGCTCTGTCACCCAAGCTGGAGTGCAGGGGAATAAAATTGGCTCACTGCAACTTCTGTCTTCTAGGTTCGAACAGTTCTGCCACCTCAGCCTCTCAAGAAGCTGGGATTATAGCCATGCACTACCACACCCAGCTAATTTTTGTGTTTTTAGTAGAGACAGGGTTTCACTATGTTGGCCAGGCTGGTCTTGAACTCTTGACCTCAAAAGATTTATTTGCCTCGGTCTGCCAAAGTGCTGGGATTACAGGTATGAGCCACCACAGTCGGCATATGTTTGTATTATGTTATTAAATTAGTACTATTGTGAGTAAAAATAACTAGCTATTACTGTTTAACAAATTGGCTAAGATAGTCTTATAAATGTCAGTGATTTTATAAGGTGAAACAGATTATGTTGTGGGGCTTTTGTTTTGATGGTGATTTATTAGATTATTTTGTTTATAGACAATAATGTCTGTGAAACTATAAAAACAATATTCACATTTTGTAATTCTAAAGGAGTCTTAAAGGTGACTGCCTTAAGGAAAGATACTTTTGTTTTGATATGTAAGTGTGATATTCAAGTTTAGTGTACAGCAGAGGACACTAAACCTAAGTCAGCGCTAATGTGCACTTGAAACTTCAGTACAAATACCAATGTGTAGCAAATAGACTTTACCATATAATGATTGCCAAAAAATGGAGCTGTTCTGATGGGAGATCATTGATTATGCTTGAGTTTAATACTCCCCATGCTCTTGACTTTTTATTTTTCTTTGTTACCTAGGCTGGAGTGCAGTGGCACAATCTTAGCTCACTGCAACCTCTACCTCTCAGATTCAGGCCATCCTCCCTAGGGACTGGAGGTGAGTGTCACCACACCTGGCTAATTTTTGTATTTTGAGTAGAGATGAGGTCTCCAGCTTCAGACCTAAAGGGATCCACCTGCCTCGGCCTCCCAAAGTTCTGAGGTTACAGGTGTGAGCCACCGTGTCTGTCTAGCTCTTGACTTTCGGTAGCTGTTGTATTATTTTAATCTTTAGTAAACAAATGCAATCTGAAATGTATAGTTCAGAAAACTCTTCTGCTTCTCTTATTTAAAAAATATATGTTTTTTTAAGTCCAATAATGTTACACGGATGTTTGTTTTAAAATTATTACCTCTTCTATTTAGTACTGCATGTATTAAATAATATTAGCTAGTATGTGTTTTTGGCTTTATAATGTGGTTCAGATTTCGATAAAAAGTTTAGCTGTTTCTATATTGCCTTAAAGTCATGAAACATTTCTATTTTTCTTTTTCTTCCTTCCCTCCTTTTTTCCTATTCCTTCCTTCCTTCCTTCCTTCCTTCTTTCCTTCCTCCCTCCCTCCCTCCCTCCCTTCCTCCCTTCCTTCCTTCCTCCCTTCTTCCTTCCTTCCTTCCTTCCTCCTTCCTTCCTTTCCTTCTTTCCTTTCTTCCTTTCTTCCCTTCTTCCTTCCTTCCTTCCTTCCTTCCTTCTTTCTTTCTTTCTTTTGTTCTTTCCTTCTATTTCTTTCTTCCTTTTCTTTCTTTCTCCCTTTTGAACTGGAATTTCTCTCTTGTTGCCCATGCACTAGCATGATCTCAGCTTACTGCTTAGAAGGTGATTCACTCAGAGAAGGTGAACCCACTGTTAGTAAAATATGTCTAGTACCAGATGCTTTTTGATCTCCTAATGACCTATCAAACTGCAGGTCTTTTGGCTTTGTCATATATTCAGTTCCACATTTATTCATTTAATAATTGAAGACTTTTTATATCCCCATTATGTGCCAAGCACTGGGTGGGACACTAGGTAAGAGAGGAACAAGCCCTCTTCCCGGGATTTCACAGTAGATGTTAGAATTTAGTGCCATTCAGCTTCATTTGATTCTGCAGTAGTTCCAAGATTTTCCAAGATGATCCTGTCTTCAAATGTCCTGTTGATTCAACTTCAGAAGCGGTCTCTCTTCACACCTTACTGCTGCCACTCCTCCATTATCTCTTACCTTGATTATCTCAGTAGTCTTCTAACTGGCTTTTTTGTTTCCATGTTTGCCTTCTTCAGTCTACTCTCTTTCTCTTTCCTTTTTTTCAGATAAAGTCTTGCTTTGTCACAAAGTCTGGAGTGCAATGCTATGATCCAGGCTCACTATAACTTCTGCCTCCTTAGTTCCAGCAACTCTCCTGCCTGAGCCTTCCTAGTAGCTGGAATTACAGGCATGAGCCACCATGCCCGGCTAATTTTTTGTATTTTTAGTAGAGACAGGGTTTCATCATGTTGGCCAGGCTGGTCTTGAACTCTTGTTCTCAAGTGATCCACCTGCCTTGGCCACCCAAAGTGTTGGAATTACAGGAGCGAGCCACCGTGCCTGGCCACTCTACCCTCAATACAACAGCTAGTACAATCCTTTCACAGTGGAATCAAGATTATAATTACATCTTTTCTCAGACTCTCCAGTGGCTTTGTTTTGTACATAACCTGGCCCCTGCTACCTGTCTCACTGTTCTTTCTTCTACTCTCCTGCTCTTTCTCCTCTTTATAAACACTGAGCTCATGTTTCCTTTAGCATGCTAGACAGGCTTGATCCTGTCCTGTCTCTGGGCCTTGCTGTTTCCTCTGCCTGGAACATTCTTCCCCTACTCTCTGCATGGCTCACTCTCTCACTGCTTTGGATTGTGGTTCAAAAGTCACTTTATCAAGGGCTTCCAGGCTGCACTGAGACTTGGCTCACTACCTGTGGAGCTCTGTCCTGTAGACCTTGTCTGAGCAATGGATGAATGAAATACTCTTTTACTTACAGAATACAGTGCAAGAGTTGGGCTAAGGGGTCCTAAGCTGCTTTTGGAGGGTGATTGCAGCTAATTGACTACAACTCCTTGTTTCTTCTTGCATTTATTCAGTATAGATTTAATAACAGGTTTTAAGTCAACATGGTTGTGAATAATTAACATGGATAATAGAGTGGATTTACTAATCATATAAACCTTTGGTTCTGAGGCCCAGAATCAACACCATTAACTAGTAATTCTTTTTCAACCTCCTCCGGGAGGGCCATCTAGCACAAAGTTTAAATGAGTAAACAGAGTAGAGACAAAGGAATGTGGGGTAAACAGATTTAACTGGGGAAGCTTTTATTATCTTAATTTCCACCTTGTGACTTAAAGCTCTAAGATAAGAACTGGCTGTCTTCAACCTGGCTCATGAAAACATTTTGGCTTTCCAAAAAGATTTGATACTGTAATCTATAACTTCCCTAATATTTCCCTTAATAGTTTGACAGCCACCCTGAGTGAATCCCAACACTGCTCTGCATAAAATATATCCTTAATTTATATTTTCTATTTGATGTCTGACTCCCCTCTGTCCTTCACTAAAATGTAAACTCCATAAGGGAAGGCATTTTGTCTGTTTTGTTTTGTTGTAACCCTAAATACCTAGAAGGTGCTCAGTGAATACTTGTTGGTTGAATGAATAAATCAGCCTATTATTGAGTCAGTCAATGTCTTCTGTAGAAGGAACTTCTCCTACCAGTGGTGCATATCTGTGTGATAGCTGGCGTAGAAAGGGGTGTGGTCAGAATGGCTCTGTCTGTGTGAACTAGTTTTGCTTAGCATGATCCCAGCAGGCTCCTATTGGGGCTAAGCCACAATTTCAGTCATATTAGTATCATTCTTTAATCATAAAGCCAGAGGATGTTAAGATTGGAATTGATCTGGGAGACTATTTGGTCTACCTTTCTCATGATTTATATGAGAATAACAAAGCCTAGAGAAAGTAAGTTAATTACTCACAATTGTAAAGCTGTAGAGGTCTACCTGAAATTAGGCTTCTGACATCAGATTCTGTAGTCTTTTCTACATGTGTCCCCCCCTGGCTGAGACAGTTCTTGGGCTTTCAGATTTGACAATTTTCTCACCAGTCTCTAAACAGGAGCTTTTATTTGCACATTATAGGTTAGCATAGATGAATCATGACCCTAAAATGTGTGGGAAAATCCCAAAGGTTGACCACTGTGAATGGGAACTACCGAAAATATGTCAGGAGCACCACAGGCATGCTCACTTCTTCACTGGCTGGAGCTGAGTAATATAAAAAGAAAACCCAAATCAAGGCACTTTGCTGCTTCAGTTCTTTTATTACATGTTAAAGTCCAATGTGTCTCCATTTAAAGTCAGATTTTTTGATGAATGGTCACACCACCTGCAGGCCCTTTGAGTCAGAAGTTTTGATATCACTAATTGTTCATTTTCTAGATGGACTTCCATTCTTCAGGCATTTGTGTGTAGCTGGTCAATTGTGAAATTCTCAGAGTGGTGTAGGACCCTCTTGTTTTTGGACAGTTGGTTCTACTTGTGCAGCATGTCCTGAACCTGGCCTATCTCCATCTTCTTTCTTAATGTGTGAGGTCTTTTGTTAGGCAGCACAAAGTGAGAGAGGACTCCTAAAGAGGGAGAAAAACTCCTCCAACATTTGCTGAAACATGTGTGTAACCTGAGCAAGATGTAATTGGAATAGCATAAAAAGACTGAAATTTATTTAATTTCTTGCCATCTGGCTTGTGATATATAGTGCCTTCAATTGAGTTTAGAAGAAACTTTGATCATAGGACAAGAGGTGAGAGAGATGTGTGTGTGTGTGTGTGTGTGTGTGTTTATATATATATATATATATATATATATATATATATATATGGAGAGAGAGAGAGAGAGAGAGAGAGAGAGAAAGAGAAAAAGAGAGAGATGAAGTTTTGCTCTATTTCCCAGTCTGAAGTGTAGTGGTGCAATCTCAGCTCACTGCAACCTTGGTTTTTCAGGTTCAAGTGATTCTCCTGCCTCACCTCCCAAGTAGCTGAAATCACAGGCATGCACCACCACATCCAGCTAATTTATATATTTTTAGTAGAGACCGGGTTTCATCAAGTTGGTCAGGCTGGTCTCAAACTCCTGACCTCATGTGACCCACCCACCTTGGCCTCCCAAAGTGCTGGGATTATAGGTGTGAACCACCGCACCTGTTCAGATAATTGAGTTTCTTATTATATCTGGGTTTCTACAGAATTTTAGTGACCGAAGAAAGTACACTAGTGTTAATTTTGTTTTTCTTTATGAAAGAAGTAATTTAATTTTTATATAATTACTTGTCAGTCACGGGAAGAAAAAGTCCAAGTTTTCATCCACAATGATAGGAATTTTTGTTACATTACAGGATGACTCTGTGAATGCCTTTAGGAAAAAATCCCTAGTCATATCTTGACCATTTTACTAGCTGTGAGACCGCCATTGTACTGGTTACTGTAACATTTCTTGGTTTTCTTTCTAGACCTCTATTAGTTGCTACTGTCCTCCTGGAATGTGTAGCATAGTAAACACTAAAGGTAAGAGATTACATGTACTTCTTATTATATTTCACTACCTTAAGACATTATTTATCAGCATTCCTGATATCATACAGAATCATTGCCCAATGTCTTTGTGGGACTTGCAGTTAGTTTCTTGGCTTTTTAAGGTATTTTATTTAATGGACCTTTCTTCCTTTTTTCTTCCTTTTTTCTTTAAATTTACTAAAAATGTCACATGTGCAATTCCACTTCATTTATGTTTCCAAGGTTTTGCAGAGCCCCTTGTGGAGGATTACACTACAAGTTTAATTGTGCAGGTTTCTATGAAAATCCCCAAACTGTATGAGTTTTATACTCTGCTCTTATAAAGCATCTTCCTCTGTATTTTTTCTATAATATACTAAAGTAATTCTGTGCTTATTTTACAGCTTTGCAGTCCCCTAAAACACCATGAAGCCCTGAGAGTAATGTACAGATTCCTGAAATTGAGAGTTAGGGTAACAGGGAAGAAGACACATGGCCTGTTCTTGAACATGGAATGTGAACTCTGTAACATAGACTGTCTCTCATAAGGCCCTTTTCAGCTCAAACAGCAAGGCTCAGACAGCTTGCTCTTGTGCCTAACAGAGAGCCTTCTGTCTGAAGACTGGAAAGATCTCCAGTGAGATTTACTGTGAGGTACTGGTTCAAGTAACTGTGAAAACTGTAAAGTTCCACAGCCTGGCATCTGCAAGGTGAAGATCCAGGAAAGCCCATGGCTTCGTTCAAAGGCATGAGAGCCAGAAAGTCAAGGGCAAGAGAAAACTGGTGTTCCAGCCCCATTTTTGGCCAGAAAGGGAATTCAATCTTCCTCCACCTTTTGCTCTCTTCTGGCCTGCAGAACATTGGACGAGGCCAGCCCATGATCTTCACTCAGTCCACTGATTCAAACCCTCATCTCCTCCAGAAACATCCTGTAGACACACCCAGAAATTATGGTTGAACAGCCACATGAGCCTCTGATGGCCCAGTGAAGCTGACACATAAAATTATCACATAAAAACACATTTTCAAATTCAGGTTGTTTTTGAATGCCTACGTATGAAGTTCTAAAAAGCATGTACCTATGAGGTATTAGAATGAATACATCCTTGTTTAATTTCCATAATAGAATATGTAAAGTAATATTTTATTTGTCTTAAATATATCTTTAATATAAATATACCTAGTATGTTTTATCATTTTATAGTATTTTGTGGTTTCAATTCAGTCCAACCTAATGTAACTATAAAAAGTGAATTGAAATGTTACAGGAAAGGAAAACTAAGACAGGTGTAGCCTTGACTTGAAAGAGTTTACAAATTAGGAAGAAATACATGTGCACAGAAGGCCTTGATATAGACAATGCTTGTCAGAGTATTCTAAAAAAGGTCTTCCCAAAACAGCTCTGATTATGAAAAATGTCCAAAGTCTCCACATTGTATGCAAGAGAAGACCTAACCCCATAGACTTTCCTACAGAGACATTTGCCATCAGAATTAATTTTCCCTCTTCATCTTCTGTTTCCTCCTAATGTACATTCAGGACCCTTTAGCTTTTAGTCATACCCACCCACTCAGATTTCTCAAAAATCGTGTTCTCCCATGTGTCCTTGTGTGTTTAATGTGATTTCTTTACTCTAGAATTCTTGTTTTCTTTTCTACCCTGAGCATTCATCAAAACTTATTTAAATGTCAACTCTCTGCTCAGCATCTCCCACTTCTCCAGGCAGGGTTTGTGTTTTCGTCTCTGGCACTTCATGGACACACTGTGTGTACCTATTACAGATTTTCAATACAAAATTACAATGATTCATGTACTCATCTGCTTTGCTTGACTGAGAAATCCTCGGGCCCAGCCTCTCTACTCACCTGAAGTTCTCTGAGGAGCCTGGGTGCACCCTAAGGATGCGAGGTAGGAGAATGGGGTGAGCACACAGGTGCAGGGGTCTCAAAAGTAACCTTATTTCTTTCTCTTTGATATTACAAGTAATATTTCTCCCTAAGATATTACAAATAATATCACAAAGTGTTCAAACATACTCTACGTCGGCTACGACATTAGGAGTAATATCTCTTTATAATATACACCCATATCAACCCGACAGTGATATTCGGAGTAATATCTCTTGAAAATGTACACCCATATTAACCACCTGCCATAGAGCGAGTAATATCACCCGGGTTTCCCCTGAATATTACGAACCATATCACAGAGGAGTGACCATACCTGTGACTCGTATCTCTCCCTAAGATATGAATAATATCACAGGGTGTACACAAATACTTTACACACACTTTGATATTACGAGTAATGACGTGCTCAATATCACAAACAAGATTAAAAAAGTGTTGAAACATACTCTACAACAACTAAGCTATTAGGAGTAATATCTCTTTAAAACATACAACCACACCCACGCAACGTCGATATTAGGCGACATATCTCTTTAAAGTATACACCCAGAGCAAGCCGCAGCCAGAGGGTGAGTTATATTTCTCCAGCCTCCCGTGGATATTATGAACCCTCTGGCTAAGGGGCCGTGCCCACAACCCCGTCAGAGGGGGAGTAATATTCCTCCAGCCCCGCTGGATATTATGAACCCTCTGGCTAGAGGGCTGTACACACAGCCCCCACCGGAGGGCGAGCAATATCACTGAGGCCCCCATTGTATACTACAAACCCTCTGGCTAGGGGACTGTGTCCACAGCCCCCACAACAGGGCGAGTAGCAGCACCCGGCCCTCTCCTCCGGCTGCTACAAATCGGCTATTTAGAAAAATTGGAGTAATATGATACGGGGAACCATATCATAAGGAGAAGATAATGTTAATTTGGTTTTCTTTTATGTTGGGCACAATAACACTAGTTCTAGTTACACCTCTGCAATATTGACAAAAATATCATCCTCGCCCCTATACACATTAGAATTGAAATCACAGGGGGGGTTTCACTTCTTGCAATGTTTAATTCGATGTAATCATTTTTTCTGTTGACATTAGTTACCATATAAGAGAGTGATGTACACCTTTTGCCATATTGAGAGTATTACCATATGGACAGTAACATCATTCTCTCCTTCCCTGGATATTAAGAGCAATATCACAGTACAGGTGTACAGCCTCAGCCACATTGTAAGTAATATCATCTCTCATTCCTTAGATATAAGAAACTATCACTGGGGGTTTGTGCACTTCCTGAGATATTTGGAGTAATATCCTCTCCGTTTTTGGATATTAGAAACAATACTACAGTGGTGGTGTACACTTCCTGCGATATTCAGTATATAATCATCCCCTCTCCCCAGGATATTAGAAACTATATCACAGAAGCGTTTCAATATCACCGCCTGTGATATGGAAAAATGACAAAGTGTACACTTGCCTTCACAATGAAAGTAATATCTACTTAAAAACATGATAAATAATATAACAAAATGTACAGACATGGGTGTATACCCACTTTGATATTAGGAGTAATTTTCATGTAATATACTAAAAATAATATCCCAGAATATACTCATGAAGTGTACATTTATTGGGATACAACAAAAAATGTATATAACATCTACCATATGTACATTTACTATGATGTACTTATGTGTAAAAAACACATATGTACAATAAATGTTAATAATGTGTGCAATATGGACATAAAATGTGAATAATGTATACACATACACATGTACATAATGTGCACAATATATAAATTTGTTGTAATATCACAATGATATCATATATAATCAAAATAACATATATAATCACAGAATATATAATACATATCACATTAAATGTACATATTGTACACATTATGTACATATACATTTATTGTGACATTACAATGACAGTGTACATAATGTGCACACATCATGTATACATGTACTATATGTACATGTGTAAATATGTGTGCAAATTGTGTACATTACGTACTCGTGGTGCACAGTATGTAGATATGTACATCAAGTACACATGTACATATATGTACACATTGTGTAGATATGTGCCATCTGTAAACAAGTACATCATATGTATAATATGTACACGGGTACAATATGTACACATGGGTGTATAAACATTTTGATAATAGGAGTAATTTTTATCTAATATACTAAACAAAATATCCCAGAATGTACTCAAAATGTGTACATTTATTGGTATATTGCAATAAATGTACATAATATCTACAATATGTACATTTACTGTGATGTACATATGTACACACAATACATATGTAGATGAAATGTAGATAATCTGTAAAATATGTAAATTTATATTTATATAATGTGTACACAATACATAGGTACATAACACGTACAATATGTACATTTATTGAAATATCAGTGATATCATATATATAATCACAATAACATATAACCACAAAAATATATGCATAATACATAATATCACAAGAAACGTACATATGTACACATTATGTACATATGTATGTGTACATATTATGTACATATACAGTTATTGTGATAACACCGTATGTCCATGTGTACATAATGTACACATTATTTACATACATACTATATGTACATGAGTATATATAGGTGCACATTATGTAAATTATGTACACATGTAGAAATCGGTGAAAACCATGTACATATGCAGTGCACATAGCAGCCCCTTGGCCAACACTATCTGCTAGAAACTCCTGGCTACGGAGCAGTAACCACAGTCCCCGACAGAGGTCCCCGGCCCACCCTGGCTGCTAGGGACCAGTTATTTTTAAAATGTGGTGTAATATGATACTGGAAACCATATGATAGGGAGGTGTTAATCTTATTCTGGTTTTTATTTATATTAGGCACAATAACACTAGCTCTAGTTACACCTCGGCGATATTGACAAAAATGTCATCCTCACCAACCTTGACATTAGAATTGAAAGCACAGAAGGGTTTCACCCCTTGCAGTGTTTAATTCAATACGATTGTTTTTATTGTGGACATTACAGACCGTATCAGAGCGTGGTGTACACCTCTTGCCATATTCAGAGTATTTCCACAAGGGCAGTAACATTATCCTCTCCTTCCCTAGATATTAGGAACAATATCAAAGGACAGCCATACAGCCACAGTCACATCGTGAGTAATATCATCTGTAATCCCCTAGTTATTAGGAACAATATCACTGGGGGCTTGTGTGCTTCCTGACATATTTGGAGTAATATCCTCTCCGTTTTTGGGTATTAGAAACAACACTACATTGGTGGTGTACGCTTCCTCCGATATTCAGGGTCGGATCATCCTCTGTCCCCAGGATATTAGAAACTACATCACAGAAGCGATGTACTTTGCCTGTGATATTGGAACAATCACAGAGTGTATACTTCCTTTCACAATGAGAGTAATACCTACTTAGTATATGCTGAATAATATCACAAAATGAATACACATGGGTGTAAACCCACTTTAATATTGGAAGAAATTTTTATCTAATATACTAAAAATGACAACCCAGAATACACTCATAATGTGTATACTTACTAGGATATTACAATAAATATATATAATATGTACCGTATGTACATTGACTGTGATGTACGTAAGTGTACACAATACAGATGTACGATAAATGTACATAATGTGTACAATATGTACATTTATATGTAAATAATGTGTACACAATAGGTATGTACATAATGTGTACAATATGTACATTTATTGTAATAGCACAATGATATATATAATCACAAAACATATATAATGCATAATATCAAAATAAATGTACATATTGTACACATTATGTACATATACATTTTTTGTGATACTACAGTTTGCACACATGTACATCAGGTACATATTATGTACAGATGTACAATATGTACACGTGTAAATAAGTGTGCACAGTACGTAGATATGTACAATATGTACACGTGTAAAGAAATGTACATAATACGTAGATATGTACCATCTGTACATGAGTACATAATATGCACAATATGTACACGTGTAAAATATGTGCCCACAGGGGTGCATACCCACTCTAATAACAGGAGTAATTTCTATCTAATATACCAAAAAAAATTCCAGAATGTACTCATAATATGTACATTTATTGGCATATTGCAATAAATGTATATAATAGGTACAATCTCCATTTACTCTGATGTACATATGTGTACACAATACAAATGTAGAAAAAATATACATAATCTGTAAAATATGTACCTTTACATTTAT